ATAGTACCTAGACGATAATGGAAGGCTCAGCCTGACTTCTGAGCTAGTTAAATCCTGAAGGAAATTTGGTTTCATGGTTTAAAGTCTATGACATTGGTGTTCCCTCACCCCTGTGGTGTTCCTTTTTACAACTACTCTATATCCCCACACTATAACCTGTTAAAAAGCTGCTTCTTTCCAGTGTTTGGGAGAAAGCCAGCCTATTGTCACTAAAGGTGAGCAATCTTCCTCTAGAACCTCCCAGAAAATTTAAATGTCTAAGGAAAAGTTCATTAGAGTTAGAATGAACTGTCACTTTTAGTTGCATTGATGATATCCACTTTAAGCAGAAGCTGTGTCTAAACCAGGAAGCCTAACAATGTTGCAACTTCCTCTACAAGGATCACTTTATTGTAACAAATTAGGATTTTTGATAAAAAAAAAAAATTTAAAGTCAACAAAGACGTGGAGGAAGTGACTCTCTGCTCCCGATTCCCAAAACAATTTCTCTGTTCTCTGAACACACGTTTGATGCCTCTCTTAGGACATTTCCCCATTTTTAAGCTTGTATTATAGTTATTTATGTCCACGTCTGATCTGCCCACTACATGAAACTGTAAAAACTTTGAGAGCAGGGACACCCACTGACTCGTCTTTGGATCTCTCCAAGTGCTTGCTGAGAATGGTCCCTTACACAAAGGAGGCAGTGGATCTGTATTTAATGAGGAATTGGTGGATTCTTGTGCAGTTCTGAGTCATGGGGACTTTTGAGAGAATGCTTACATGGTATTCCTATGCAACTAAATACTTTTATTCATTTCCAGATAGACGTGGCACAGGATGAGGAAGGTTGCATCACTGCTCCAGGCGAGTGTTTTCTCCACCTCCCATCAGTGGTGGGAGTGGCAAAGCAGGATGCTTTAAGAGGGTAGGAGACCCAGCTTCTACTCACTCACAGGCCCTATCATTCTAGTCAAGATGCTGAAACTCTCTCCCTTCACTCATAGAAGGGATTGATGAGGTAGAGAACCATAGTTCTTCTCATCACATTGTCTTACCAGAAGATGTAAGCTCTAATCTTATGATGATTTAAGATCTTAACCTTAAAATGGCTTAAAGTGTATATAGCCCAGCACGGTAATTCAGCATCATCTCACATGCTGACCCTATCAGTAGTTGCATCCTAAAGCACTGTGTTTAGAAGGATTCTGAGTCCCTATTTGGGCTCAGTGGAAAGACTGTTGACTTCATAGTGTTACCTGGCATGAGGCAGGGAGTAGCAGCAAGTAAGCCAAGATATGTCATCCCTGATCTAGTTCAATACCTTCACTTCACAGGAAGAAAATGAGAACAGAAGTTCATTCCTTAAGCTTATGACATGCCAGGCACTGTTCAAATTGCTTTTACATGCACATTTTATGTACTCCTTAGTCAGTCTTAAGGAGTTAGCATTATTATGATTCTCATCCTGTCGATGGGGTTTACGGAAGCACATTTTGCCTGGAGTTCACACCCTGGAAATCCTTATCTTTAAGCACTTCTCTATACTGCCCCCTAATCTGTGGGCACTTACTATGTGCTTGGCTAATGGAACTCAGCCAGGAGGGATTTTGCCCTCCAGGAGACATCTGGCAATGTCCAGAGATTTTTTTTCATTGTGGAAGGAGAAGGCGTTCCTTGAATCTAGTGGGTGGAGGCCAGAGATGTTGCTCACTGCACAGAATAGTACCCAGAGCAAAGATGTAGCTGGTCTGAAATGTAAACAATGCCAAGATTGAGAACTATTGAGTTAGGCTATGTGAATGTCATTTTCAGACCGATGATCAAACTCTTCCTGTAGCTCAGTAAGTACAATTACTGTCTCCACTTTACAGACAAGGAAAAGTGCTCACAGAATCAAGAAAATCACAAAACAGGAACCTAGGTAGTCTGATTCCAGAGGCCTCTGGACTTCCCCCTCCACAAAACTCCATTCTCATCATCTTCCTTTACTAGCAACACACATAAACTTTTTTTTTTTAAACCTTACCAGAGGACATTTTTTTTTTTATCCTCACTGGAGGACATTTTTCCATTTTTTGTTCAGGTAGAGTGGGAGGGAGAGAGAGGGAGAGAAACATCGATGCGAAAGGGACAAATTGAGTGGCTGCCACCTGCACAACCCAACCAGGGCCGGTGACAAACTGCAACCGAGGTACATGCCCTTAGCGGGAACCGAACCCGGGTCTCTCGGGACCGCAGGCTGATGCTCTAACCGTTGAGCCAAACCGGCCAGGGCACCAGAGGACATTTTTGCATTTATCTTCAGATAGAGCAGGAGGGAGAGAGGGAGGAAGAGAGAGAGAGAAACATCGATGTGAGAGAGACATATCAAGTGGTTGCCACCCACACGACCCCATCCAGGGCAAACTACAACCGAGGTACTGCCCTTAGTGGGAACCAAACCCGGGACTCTGGTCCGTGGGCAGACGCTCCAACAGCTGAGCCAAACTGGCCAGGGCAACACACATAAACTCTTTAAGCACATGCTTACATATCATGGATTTCAGAAGCCAAGAACATTCAGGCAGCTATGAAACATTTCCACGGTGTTGGGTGTCTCTTCAATGTTAAAAAAGTATTTCTTCAATAGCTCAGAGAAGAGAGTCTTTAGAAGCTCTTACAGAACCATTGATCTCCCTGGAGTAGACATGCAGATCCTTGCTTTAAAATAAAACTGAGGAGAAAACCAATTTTAGGACATTAACAAGCTTTTTCAAGAAAAATTAGCTCTGCATGGGATCCAACTTTAATTTTTTTCCCTTTTGTTTTTAGGAGCTGGTGAGCCTGGAAGCTTATTTAAGAGTAGAAGAGGAAGTGATACTATGAAAAGACAGTATGATTCCTCTTTTTCTAGGAGGTAAAATACAATCTGAATAGGAATTACTTTCTCATCCTGTCCAACTAACTGACTCAGATACAAATACAAATAGCTGGAAGAAATTGAAGAAGCTAGTTTAAACAATAAAGCCCTATGCAAAAAACTTCCTTTAGGATGCAAGGCTTGTCTCCTGCAAAGAAAACAATGCTAATGTAACAAGGTGAGGATAGAGAGAAGAAAAGAAAAAGAGAGAAATAAAAGAGCTTGAGGGAAGAGGGGGAGGAAAAATCGAGCTTCTCTCTGGAAGAGGAATTACTGGAAAATGGAAGAAGGGTTGGGAAAACAACGTCTGAGCTGCTCAGGCAATCCAGGCTGAGGTGGCAAGGTGCCCCCTGGAATTCAGAATGAATGGTTGGGGTGCCTGCCAGACACCTCCATCCACGCGCTGGTTGGTCGGGTGCGGGGTGTGGGGGGAGGTGGGTGGGAGAGGGACGTTTTAAGAACCTACAAGTCATTTGATTTTAAATCTTCTCCAGCAGGGTTCTTCGAGTGCGGACTCCCGGCAGCCTGACAGTGGGTTGGCTCTGCAGCTGGTCGGTATCCTCCCTCCCTCGCTTGCTGCTTACCAGATCCAAAACAGCCCCAGACAGCCCGCAACAGGGATGGTTCCAGAAGCGGAGAACCTAGCGCGATGAATGAAATGTGTATAGCATGGCTCTGGCAAGAGCCTCAGACACCTTAATTTGGGGCCAGTTGGGAAATCGGAAATGCGTCAGGTGCTGCAGGTGGCCGGTGGCCCCTGAATGTGACATTCTGGAGCCTCCACTCTGCCAGGCACGGAGCCTGGCGAGCGAGCCACACTCATTGTACAGCTCCGCGAGGCAGGTCAGATGGGTATTCTGAGAGGTTAAATACCTCGCATTTGCCGTTCCCTCGGCCTGGAACATTCTTCCCAAGACCAGTTCCTTTCGGGGTTCAGGAATCTGCTTAAAAGCTACTTCCAAGGAGAGGCCCTTAGGGAGCTGCCCAGCTCCCTATCACATACACCATTGCTTTTGAAAGCTTTGCTTAGCAATGACCTCAGTGCTCATAGTTCATCAGCATTTCTCATTTGTTCATATTTGTATATGTTCTTTGTTTATGGTCTGTCTCCCCACTACAATGTAAACTCCACGAGAGCAGGAACCAGGAGTACCATCATCATAGTTAAACGCCCACAACTGGTTCGGATGCACACAGAAGGCGCTCGGTAAATGTTAATCCCCTTCCCCTAGGGCTGCTTTCGGCACCCGACTCATTCGAAGCCTTCAAGCTGACCCCAGGCGATCAGTTGCTTGTATTCATGCTAGGACAGAAGGAGGCCGAGGAACAGAGTGGGCAGTCGACTTAGGTGGACTTTGTTGTTTTCAAGGAGCTCCTGCATTTTAATTTTAACTAGGAAGCTTTCTCTCCACACCACTCCCCCCTTCCCCTTGCATATGAATTGCACAGAACAAAACAACCACACTCCCCTCAGGTTTTCTCCTGGGACCCCTGGCGCAAATACAGCATCACAGCGTCCAGATATCAGGGTCACCGTCTAGGGCCAGGGTCCCACGCCGAATCTGTCCTTCCCCATCCCATGCCTGCAGTCCTCTCTTCACCACCTATTTCTCCGTTCTCGATCCCTCTGCCTAGCTTTGACTTCCTCAAGAGGTCGAGTCCTCCTTGCCGGTTCCACCATGCGTGTCCCCTGGAAGCTTCCTTAAACCTGCCCCTCCAGGGCCGCCCTCACTTCTCCCTCCTTCCCTAGCGGGGAAACGCTACTCTCTACTCGACAAATATTTATTGAGTACCTACTACTGAGTACCTACGGTGCAAAGGTAGCTCGCTGGGCTGCCGGAAGCCCCTTCTCAGGCTCCACCGAAGCTCTCACCTTCCCCTGCCCTTCCCACCTGTCGGGGGACCCGGGGGTACCAACTCCCTTGACTGCGTCATGGAATCCGCCCGCTTCTTCCAAGGGCATCGCCCCACCTCCTTCCTCGGAGCAGACTCCTGATTGGTGGGAGTGTGGGTCACTCTGCCGCTCCTCCCATCTTCCCCGCCCCTCGCACGTGGACCCGCCCCCGGGACGGCCTCAGGCTCCTCCTTCCCGCTTACCTCCTCCCGCTAATCGCCAGGCGACGAGTGCCGAGAAGTTCTGGGCAAAGTCCTGGGAACTGGCGGTGAGATCACAGCGCCTGCCAGCCCGCTGGGCAAAGGGAGCCCAGCGCAAGGCAGTCGGTGCGCAGCTGGGGCTCCGGCCTCTCTGTTCGCCCGCCCGCAGTGGCCATCCCCGCCTCATTCTCCTGCAGCTGGTGTGGGACCTGTCAGCTGCGCATTGCGGGGGCCCGGAGGAGCCGCGTGTGTCTCCGCCCGGGTCTGTGGACGAGCCTCGGAGCCCCGCGCTGGAGAACTAGGCGGCGTCCCCGGCGGCAGAGCGCACCGCACCGGTAAGAGGAGGGCGCCTGCCGGAATGGTGCTGGGGTGTGGTGGGGCCCGCGGCGGCACGGGCTGGACAGGGCTACGATTTCGGAGTCTCTGCGGACCCGAGTCAGACTCCTGTCGCTGGGTGAACCCGCCCGCGGGGCAGCCCGAGCTGGGGAGATCGTCTCAGTGCTGTCCGCAGTCTCTCTGCATGTAGGGTTCGAGTGCTGCCCACCCTGGAGCCCGGTCCTTAGAGGGGCGGTTTGGCTGGGATTGACGCCGAGAAGGCGCCGAACTCGGGGGTCGAGGCAGTGGAGGGTGCGATACAGAAGGGCTGTCCTGGGCTGCGGCTGGGGCGGGAGGCACAGGAAACCTGGTTAATTGGGCTGAGCACGAAGCTTTACCACATCCGCACGAAGGGGCGCGGCAGGGGGAACCCGGGCGACCCTGGCCTTGCAGGCGCCCGACTCCCGGCCTCGCTTGCCCAGCCTGCTCCGCTTCACGGTGCCTTGGATGGGGACTGAGGGTACTCGTCCCTGTGGGCTTTCCAGTGTCCTGGGCATTGTCGTTGATCATACAGATATTTCTTAAACCGGGGCGCGCCACCCTCCTTCGGTAATGAAACTTGCCAGCCGCCTTCTGCACACTTGTACGCTCCCTTCTCCACCTCACAAACTACCGGTCTCCTGAGTCCGAACTCTGAGCCTAGGGGACTATGAAGGTGTGTCTCTTTCGTTATGTCTGGGGTTGAGGTACATGAGGTTCCCCAGATGTTGCAACGACCCTCAGGGTTTGAGTACCAGGATGAGGGCATTTAGAAATATTTTAAGCTGCAGATGCAAAAGAGATCCTTCCACAGGCAAGCAAAAGTGTAGGTCTGACTTCTGGTTATCCACACTCTACTCTCAAGCATCATACAAGGTGAGGTCCCCCTTCTGGCCAAAAGAGACCAGTTAGGCAGGCCTGGGCTGAAATGCAGCTAAGCTAAAGCCCCTCCACCACCCTGTGCCATGTTCCTCCTGGGGCTCATCGCTCTCTCTGAAAATATCTCCCTGAGCTGTTTATGACCAGTCTTCCCCCACAAGAATGGAAGCTCCGGGAAAGCAATGATCTTATCTGTCTAGTTCATCCACTCTATCTTCAATGTATTAACAATGCCTGACACACACAGTTGGTATGCAAGATACAGTTACTGAATGAGTGATGAAAACTTTTCTTTAAAATATGAGGAATGGTGATTTCATAGCTGATTTTGATTTGCATATTTATCCTTTTTAAATATCAGTAAAATTAAATACCAATAACTACTGTTGACTGAGCACCTACTAAAAACAGGAGATTACTGGGAACTTTGTATAGATTACATAATTAAACATTACAGTAGTCTTATTAGCTAGCTAGGTATTTCTAACCAGGTGGGAAATTGAGGCTCCAGCAGGTTAACCAATTTTCCCAAGATTATCCTGGCAGAATTAGAATTCCAACTCATTTTCTCTCTATTGTTCAGGGCCTCTTCCAAGAAACTGAAATGTGTTTTCCACCATTACAGCCAATAGACATTTAACTTTATTTGTGACAAAAGCTATTGCTTAGCCAAAAAAAGATTTGTTGTTTTCTCATTCAGATATAGTTTCAATAATAGTTAATAGTTATTTTATAGGCCAGATACTCCTATGCTACCATAAGCCGGTATTATCTCATTTAATCTTCACCAGTATTGTGAGGTCATCTCCATTTGACAGATGAATAAACTGCAGTCAAGCTTCAGGAACATGCAGGGTCAATAGTAAATTGCTGAGCTAGATTTTGGTAATAGTCCTTCTGACTCTGAATCTTTAGCTTCTTCTACTACGTAGAAATGTGTCCTGCTCCTGCTACTTAATTAGAGGTCACTTCATTATGGTAGAGTCCGATGATACAATATATTAAAACGACCTGAGGTTGGGCTACAAACTTTCTGCTGCCAATATCAAGTTTCTAGTTGCACTACTTTCTGAATTATTGAGACTCTTACTGCCATTGATTTTTGTGGTTGAGTTTGTGGTTTGTGGACCCGGTAGTTGAAGGACTTTAATCTAGGAGGAAAGGAAATTCTCCTTTTACCTAAATTTGAATTTACTTCCACCTAAATCTAAAGAGAAATCCTACGGGTTTTACCTGCTGTGGTAAATGAACTCTGAACACAGTAATGCTTTTTGCCTCTTAAGGGAAGTGCTGGAAAGCCAGCTGGTTCCTGCGTTCCCATCTGTGGAATGGAGAGTTGGAAACCGCTGCGAATTCCAAAAGCTCCTGCAGCAATTGTCTAGTAAGATAACTACATTTCAACTCTTTGTACTGGCCTAGTGAAACTGACGGCAGGAATTAGATACGATTCTTGGTTACCTTCTAAAGTGCTAATAGCAAAATAGGGGATAGGAAGGAATTAGAGTTTGGTTTTTTCTTCTACTTCTATTCTAGTTTTAGGGGGTAGTATAATGTTTTTCTCTGCGTGAGGGTCTGGATAATCCAGTTTCATTTATAATGTGCCTCTCAGCAGTACTATATTTTCTTAATTGTTAATTCCCTTTCAGGAGTACTTTAGGGAGGGCTGGAGAATGCTCCCGGGTAGAAAGCCCACAGAGCAATGTTGAGTGTGGGACACTAAGGAAGATGGAAGCTCTTAAGTTACAAATGCTTTCCATGCATAACTGAGAGTTGTTAATAGTTCCCTGTGAATTCCTATTTTGTGTACATCTTATTCATCAGCATTTTAGTGCTCTCTTCTGGAAACTTCCTTCTTGATTTCTAAATCACTACTGTTCAGACCATGTTTATGCTCACCCCAGATCTTCTCTCCTCCTCAGTGTCTTTCACAGCCATCCCTTCCCATTGCCCCTGCACTGTCTTAGCTCAGGGTCTTAAGGACTTCTGCACTCTGTCCTAACATTCCTGACAGGTAGGTTTCCTCCCTCGGTCTCTTTGCATCACAGTCCAGTAAATTCTTTAAGTGCTGAAATTATATGGTAAAAATTCTTCAGTGGCTTATATAGTTAATAACAGTAGCAGTAGCTGCTGAACTTTTTATGCCAGGGACTGTCTTAAGTGCGGTACATAAATTATTTCATTTAATCCTCAGAGCAACACCCAAGCTGGCGCTGTTATTATACCCCAATCTCCAGATGAGGCTAGTCAGACGAGGCTAGGAGAAGTTAAGTTTGCAACAACTTCACAACAAATACAAGGTGGAGTTGAAACTCAAACTCCGCGTGCTTTCTCTCTCTCTTCGTTTAAGTGTAGACTGGTTAGCCTGAAGGCAGGAGCTGGCAGTCTGGACTCTGCGTGGCCTTCTCCCCATCATTCTCCAACCTTGTGCACTGGCAGCCTGAACTTGATGGCGCAACAGAGCACTTTACCTTTGTCATACACCCCTGTTGCCTGGAAAGCTCATTCATTGTGTCCCCCTGTGAAAACCCACTTCTTTCAAGGCTGAACTCATAAACTACTTCCTCTAGAATAATCTTATCTGAACTCAATCTCTCACAGCAATTTAAAAAAAAAAAAAGAAAAAAACCCAAACCAAACAAAAAAAACACGAGAGTCTCCAGTTCAGTTTCTGACTCCTGAGTACACTGGATTTGGATTCCTTCTTTCCTTCAGCATTTTTCTTTCATATCCCCACCCCACCCCCACCCCCCACTGGAGTGCCTCCCAGTTTAGTGGTTTATTCAGACGCACTGCCTTTCTTTCTAGATTGTAAGTGCCCTGAAGGCAGGGCCAGTATGCATTTCTTCAGTTTCTATCCATCGGAACTCCAGGCCTGGTATCCTATCCATAGTAGGTGCTCAGTTAAAAAAGAGACTATGAAACAATTATATTTGGTTATATTCTGTCAGAATATCCCGTGAAAAATAACTGGAATGTGGCATTTTGTTTCCTGCTTTTTGATCCACAATTCTGTAGTGCCTTCACCAATTGATAGTGAAGCAGTAAAAATCCTAGTAATTTCAGTACATGCAAAGCACTATTGTGGTTGTTTTCACCTTGGAGACATTGCATGAAGATCTCAAACCCCTACACAAAACAAACATTGTAGAGTAAAGATCTTGTATCTTACATGCACTCTTTTTTCATATATATGATATAATGTTATTAAAATGTATTAAAACTGTTATGGAATTGAAACTATATTTTTGTCAACATTTTATTAATCAATGAGTATTTTACATTTTTAACCTGATTCAGCAGATCCTGTATGAATGAGCTCCTCTCTTAGTTCATTAATCTGTGTTCCAGTCACACTGAACTCACTTCAGCACCCTGCCTGTGTCCCCAGGCAGTCTACGGTGCTCTGCCCTCCCAGGTTGTGCATCATCTTCTGTCCTCCTTATAACCATTTCCTCCTCCCCCATATTCACCTGGCTAATTCCTACTCATTCATCATGTTTCAGCATGGATGTCACTTGTAAGAAGCAGCCTTCCTCTGCTGCCTCCATGTTGAAGTTGGGGAATATTCGAGGTACCCCATGCCTGCCTACCCTTTTTTTAAAAAAATTTTCACCTGAGGATACTTTTGCATTGATTCAGATAGAGTGGGAGGGAGGGAGGGAGAGAGAAGCATCCATGTGAGAGAGACACATTGCTTGGCTGTCTCCCGCACGAACCCAACCAGGGCTGAGGATTGAACTGCAACCCAGGTACGTGCCCTTGACCAGAATGGAACCTGCGTCTTTAACCGCTGAGCCAAACCAGTCAGGGCCTGCTGACCCTTTTTTTTTTTTCTATCCTTACTCGAGGACACTTCTCCATTTTTTGTTCAGATAGAGTTGTAGGGAGAGAGAGGAAGAGAGAGAGAGAAACATTGACGTGAAAGGGACACATTGAGCGGCTGCCACCCGCACGACCAACCGGGGCCGGGGACAAACTGCAACCGAGGTACGTGCCCTTAGCGGGAACCAAACCCAGGTCTCTCTGGACCGCAGGCCGACGCTCTAATCGCCGAGCCAAACCGGCCAGGGCAAGATGTGGCTGATTTTTATTGAGATGTACT